CAGTACCTTATTTTCCTCTGGTGTATCCGCATATTTGTCTTTAGTTTCTGCTCTTCGTTGTTCCCTCTTTAGTTTCTTCACTCTCTTATCTTCCAGACGAGTGTACAATTTGGCACGATATTCTGAGGAGATAAATGTTGTTTTTAACTCAAGATTTATTTACTCTCAACATATACCTTGGTCGTGAACGAACTCCTTCCGTAAGCCTGGAATAGTAATAAAAGTTGCGAATTTGTTCATAACCCCCATAACCTTTATACGCTCCCACTTCGCCAAAACAAATAAGTAGATTATAGAGAGACCTTTAGGTTCAAGGACGAAAACGACTACGAGTATGAGATTTGACTTTAAGTTTTTCGCGTATTCTAAAAAATAGACACCCCGGAATGCTTCATTGTACTTTTTTCAAAAGAAAAGTTAACACTGTTATCTTCGTAGTAGGTTAAGCCCTTTCCCGATCGCAAAATGATAAAACATCTAGCATTTCAAAACTTGTTCCTGCCATTACGACATTCTTACTAATTACCAAGTTTCCCGCCAAAATGACGCTGGCTCGCGCTCAAGCAGTACTAAATCTTTTACTCCTTGTCGTACTCGTCTTAGAATCTAAAGGTCTCTATCAGGTGGCCGGAACACCACCTCCACTATGATGATTGGCCTCAATCTCGGAAAAGCCCTGGGAATTAGATTGGATAAGGCCTTGGATTGTTAGATTTCCCATACGCTCGCGAGACAAAAAATGTACGCCTGGTCTTACCTGAGAATCTCTTTCCGCCAATCTGCTTTGAATACTCAAACACATGACCGCACACACACGAGATACATGAGTCAGTCATCTAAAGAGAACATCGATTAAGATTATTTAACAATAAGTCGCCGAAAGCGACTAATTGTTCTAGTATAATTACATTGATGATTATTCGAGAAAATAAAATAAAAAAGAGACATGTTTTTGAAAGATTTTGGGGCTTGAAGATGTAGGTCAAGGGTGGCCCTGATCGACAACAAGCTGGTTTTCTTAAAATAGCTGCCGTCGGTTTTCCTCACGGAAACGTAAAATTTTGCTAGACATTTATTTAATTCATCGACTTCCATGTTTTCTATTTCACTTGTGAACTGTTGCTGCTGTTGATATCATTCTGTAGAACAAAATGTTTCGCAAAAGCGCGCAATCCGGCAATTGTATGAAAGGAATAGGGTTTTGACTTCGCCCTGCCTGCCCTGCTCGCCCACTTTAAAAGGATTTATTTGTCAGTTTTCCGTTTCCTCTTTGTTAATTATGGAAAAATCTTCAAAGAAAAAAATGGTTGCGGAATTTGAAGTTTCAGCATTTGGAAGAGTCACAAATATCGGGCAAATTTGTTCGAAGTGTTTTCGAGTTTTATTTTGACCTCTCCGTTTACTTTTCTGTCGCTTATCTGTAGCCAGGATTAGGCTCAGTCTATTTCGTATTTCAACTCTTTTCTGGTCCCAGTGCGCAAATATCCAGCACTTGTTATTTGAGCAGTGTTTGTTGTGGTTTTACAAATGTTCAAGTCTAGATGAGGAAGGTTGGAAACACGAGTTAGGCGTTGCCAGAAAGCGCCGTATTTTGTTGCATTGGCGATAGAACGATGATAAGGAAGCTTATATAATTTCATTCTCAGGGTGTCTTCCTTTCAACTATTGCCTTAAGCAACTAGCCGGGCCTTTAGCCAGTATACTTTTAAGTATACAAGTAGAACTAAACGGACACGAAAAACTTCACAGGGTCAGTTTTTTAAATGGAGTTTAGCCAGTGTCTTACTGAACAAAACCGCGTTCTAAGCCGTTTTCACTTTGCCGAACGCTTTTATCTAAACACCATTTTTCGTGAACAGTTTCACTAAAGCATATAACGAAGACTAGAAAAGAATTTGTCTTCTTAAGATAACCCACTAAAGAAGAGATCTGGAGGTTCAAAGATTTCCTAAACCGAAGTTAGACTTCGTTTAAATAACTGACCCAAAGCGTTTTCCTAGGATGAGTTTCGTTTATCGGACTCATTTTTAGTTTCGACCTTTCGCTTTTCTTTGTGCTAATGTTTTAGTTTATATACATTTCATTGTTTGACAGATGTTATACACGAATTTAGTTTGTTCTAAATATCACAATACTCCTGGCTCCCTCTAGAGTCAAATATGGCCGGTTTTTGGTTCTATTTTTCGACTGTTAGAGCAAGTTTTCTATTGTGTGACCATTCACATGAATTCTCGTCAAGCTTCCTCAGAAGTGTTTTTTGCACAGGACTATTTTTTCAAGTAATATTCAAAGTGAAATTCCCAATTTTTCTCCAGTTTTTTTTCGGACAAGTAAACGACGAGGAACCTAGGGCCACGGCGCGGTCTGATCGCTGTCTTAAACGGATGTTGTCACTGGGAGGCCGGGGCGACTAAATTAGAGCCGCATATAAATTGGATCTACCTATTAGTTTGGAACAAGAATCAATCTTCGTATTTAAGCGGCATGGTTATTGCTTTAAAAATGACTCAGAAACGGGGAGAATACAAACAAACAGTGTGGTGTAAAAGCGAAGATCGGGAAAAGCCATTGGACGAGTCGCTGAACAAAATTTATGAAAATTAGAACTTCCTCGACAAATTTGAATATTACTTAGACAGGAGCAGCTGTAACTGAAAGATTTCGAACTAAACTAGCGAAGATTTTCGTTTAGTTTCTTACCGCTGTATTGCAGGCCAAACACTGTTGAAGAACCATGGCGCAGCTCTGATCTAAATCGATAAACTACTTCGTGGTTTTGACGACTGGTTTGCTTGAGTATCAATGAGCCACAAGCTTTGTAGCCAGTGACGTCACAGTTCATGGCTTTTCTGACAAACAAGGCAGGTACTACGTTACATAATTTCCACTGAATTATAGGCGCTCAGTAACATGTCAGTAAATTCCAGTAAACGCAAGAATTGATGACGACTACAACTGCGGAACTCGGTTGACGCTCTATCGATAGGGTTACAGAAGTTGTATCATCTTTAAGGGAATGTGAAACCATAGCGCTTCTCGTTATTTATTTTTTTCAGTATTGCAATTGGTCGAGGAAGTAGGATATGTGATAAGGCGGTGCATTTTTAATCCCTTACCCTTTTGTTGTTCTTCTCCCAAACCATGCAGGCGTCTCGGGTACTTAAGCCTGATATTACATAACGGGGAGAGAAAAATATACTTGAAGTTGCTTGTTAATGATAACGTAAAACATTGATTGATTTTATCCATGGGTAACAGAAGTCTTGAACGAAAAAGTCTGGTTTTACTACACGTTTCTGACGTGAGAAGATAAAAAGTCACTCATTAGGCAACCGCATTTATTTTGACATGCTCGAAAAGTTCGAGAAAACTCCGCGGAGATGGACATAAATAGCGGCATTGTTGCAGTCTAAATACGTACGTACATAAGAATTGTAAAATTAAAACCACGCCCGACTAAAAATTATCTACAAGAAAGACCGATCGGTCATATGTCATAGCGGAAAAAGGTGCGACCAGTAAGGAATGTTGCCGTTTGCCTGTTTGTCATGGCAAACGAGAATGACAGTCGCCAATACTAATAAAACCATACTGAAATTCGAGTATATTTATTGTCGTAAAAAAATATGGGACTGTACCATTTCTCTAACATTCCACGTTTGACGGTTTACCTTGCATTCTCCTGGTTAACACTTTCCGGTGGCGTATCGACCTTTACCCGGGCAAAACATAGACACAGTAAGTGAGCGTGTACCTTGTGTAAGCAGCATCATGGCAAACCAAGTTTTGGGTGACATTGTTATTTGCATTAATCTGTTGGTGAGATTCTATGGTGTTACCATTCATACAAATGAAACCTCTTTGAAAGACCTTTTAAATAACACTATTTAATTCGTAGAGTTTTACTAAAAAAAATTCAAATTTTTTCCGTGTTTTTTTTTTTCGTTTCGCTGCACTTAAAACACGAAACCCAGCCTGGGTCGACTGGACAGAGGCTTAAAATAAAGATATTAGGACAATAAAGGACGCCCTGTCAAGCAAGTCGCTATCGCCGAGCCTCTTCAAGATGGCATCTTCCTCGAATAAACATCACACTACTGCAGCGCTTATTTATATTACCGTTTATTTGATTCGGTCATTATAGGGTCGTGTAGGGTGGAGGTTGGCGAGGGCGAGATTAGAAAAGACAGAGGGGGTGTGACTAAGTCACGTCAAAATCTCATAACCATTAATCATGTTTAAATTTCAATATTGTCCTAGTTTTGCTTTTAATTTTATTTCCAGTTTTTGTCATTTAAACTGACTAGGATGGTGATGGGGCTGTAAGAACACTGACTTCTCTACCGGCGTCTGAAGTTTTGGAGTAAGTGTTTCGTCGCTGCAAACACCAAGAAATCATATAACTGAGAAATCTTATTTTTATGCTCCCTCGATTTCCAGTTCGGAAAATTTTTGTATCTACAGGTCGCGCGAAGATGAACCTGCGATTTCTTCTCGGAGAGGGAAAGTGGACCCAAATGAGCGGGGGAAACTCTTAGTCAGTTCCAAGCTAACTGATTTTCTTCTCAATTTGCAATTCCAGCCAAATGAAGTTCTGTGCTGCTATCTTTCGGTTTATTTCCTGGAGGGCGTTTGGCAATCTACTCAATAGCTCTGTCGGTACCATATTTGAACGGCGCTTTCCCAGCGGAGAGGACCCTGGATTTGTTCGTAAGCAAGAGAATCGTTTTCTTATGGGCTTACTGTTCCTCTTTACTGAGGTGTGGTTTACTGCAAATCGATTCTAGAAACAAAAGAAAAGCATTGTTAGTCTGAGTTTTTATTCCTCTATACTTTTTACTCCATCTGCTGACTGCTGTTTACGTTTCGTATCTACAATTATAATTGACGTGGAAAATCTGCATTAACTCAGTCTAGCCTGCCTAGCTAGTTGACGGTTTTGTATGGCGAACGCACCAATGAGCGGCAAACTACCTGCATGTACCTGGGATTAACAGTTTTAACTAAATACGGGTTTGAGGTTGTTCGAATAGAAACTCTCAGTATCATCTGTTTTTCTTTGAAATATGGTTGTGACTGAAAGTACTCTGTAATCACAGTCCCTATCGTCACACACTAGCCTGCGTGACAAGGGAATATCAGGGAGGTGATGGAAAGGGGATTTGGGCCTACCACGGCAGGCTAGTCGCACAAGCGCACAATTCACGTGCCAAACTAATGACGACTAAAACACGATGCCTACTAACAGTTTAGCTTTTCCCCGATCATCCATGTTCTGAACTGGTCAAAAAGTTGATCATGCAATCACAAACCACAAACCGTTTTTTCCAACTGAAAGCGAGGAAATCAAATCAACCCAAACAATCGAAAATGATTGAATCCAACGGAACACGATCCGAACCGGTCTTTTACCTTCGGGCGACCTCTCCTTCGCGGCTTATTTCTTCGTGCTTCTTTTCTCAAGTTTTCTGTCTCTAAACGAGAATATAATTTGGCTCGGTATTCTGTAAAAGCAAACAGAACTAAATTACTTTAAAAGCAACCTATGATGGCGAGATAACTTACTTCACTTTACTGAAACTTTCTTTACCTGAGAAATATAACTGATGAACAAGGGGGAAACGCACAGTTTTCTAACTCATCCCTCTACGCCTCTCAAATTGGTTGTCTTTGTGGGTGACTTATTAAATTTTTTCTCTTTATCAGTATGGCGAGGTAATCATCTATCTTGACTATGCTCTTAAATAGGCAGTTAAATCCCTTATGAGCTATCCCTTAATTACCTTTCGTTACCTTGCTTTCTGGCTATTTTGTTTTTGGTTGTTACGTATCTTCGACATTTTTTAGGTACGCGTGTGCGGACTGGTGCACATTTGTTTAAAGTTGCGAAAAATTCAGAATCAGAACGTTGGTTTCGTACCTGAAAATCTTTTTCCACCGATAAAACGACTCGCTTCTTTATTTAGGTTCAAGGACGAAAACGACTACGAGTATGAGATTTGACTTTAAGTTTTTCGCGTATTCTAAAAAATAGACACCCCGGAATGCTTCATTGTACTTTTTTCAAAAGAAAAGTTAACACTGTTATCTTCATAGTAGGTTAAGCCCTTTCCCGATCGCAAAATGATAAAACATCTAGCATTTCATAACTTGTTCCTGCCAGTACGACATTCTTACTAATTACCACGTTTCCCGCCAAAATGACGCTGGCTCGCGCTCAAGCAGTACTAAATCTTGTACTCGTTGTCGTACTCGTCTTAGAATCTAGAGGTCTCTATCAGGTGGCCGGAACACCACCTCCACTATGATGATAGGCCTCAATCTCGAAAAAGCCCTGGGAATTAGATTGGATAAGGCCTTGGATTGTTAGATTTCCCATACGCTCGCGAGACAAAAAAGGTACGCCTGGTCTTACCTGAGAATCTCTTTCCGCCAATCTGCTTTGAATACTCAAACACATGACCGCACACACACGAGATACATGAGTCAGTCATCTAAAGAGAACATGATCATCGATTAAAATTATTTAACAATAAGTCGCCGAAAGCGACTAATTGTTCTAGTATAATTACATTGATGATTATTCGAGAAAATAAAATAAAAAAGAGACATGTTTTTGAAAGAGATGTCGGTCAAGGGTGGCCCTGATCGACAAGAAGCTGGTTTTCTTAAAATAGCTGTCGTCGGTTTTCCTCACGGAAACGTAAAATTTTGCTATACATTTATTTAATTCATCGACTTCCATGTTTTCTATTTCACCTGTGAACTGTTGCTGCTGTTGATATCATTCTGTAGAACAAAATGTTTCGCAAAAGCGCGCAATCCGGCAATTGTAAGAACGGAAGAAGGTTTTGGCTTCGCCCTACCTGCCCTGCTCGCCCACTTTAAAAGGATTTATTTGTCAGTTTTCCGTTTCCTCTTTGTTAATTATGGGAAAATCTTCAAAGAAAAAAATAGTTGCGGAATTTGAAGTTTCAGCATTTGGAAGAGTCACAAATATCGGGCAGATTTGTTCGAAGTGTTTTCAAGTTTTATTTTGACCTCTCCGTTTACTTTTCTGTCGCTTATCTGTAGCCAGGATCAGGCTCAGTCTATTTCGTATTTCAACTTCTTTTCTGGTCCCAGTGCGCAAATATCCAGCACTTGTTATTTGAGCAGTGTTTGTTGTGGTTTTACAAAAGTTCAAGTCTAAATGAGGAAACACGAGCTGGCGTTGCCAGAAAGCGTCGTATTTTGTTGCAATGGTGATTGAATGATGATAGGGAAGCTTATATAATTTCTCTCTCAATTTCTTCTTCCTTTCAACTATTGTCTTAGGCAACTAGCCGGGCCTTTAGTCAGTATACTTTTAAATATACAAGTAGAACTAAACGGGCAAGAAACAATTCACAGGGTCAGTTTTTTAAATGGAGTTTAGCCAGTGTCTTACTGAACAAAACCGTGTTCTAAGCAGTTTTCACTTTGCTGAACGCTTTTATCTAAACACCATTTTTCGTGAACAGTTTCACTAAAGCATGTAACGAAGACTAGAAGAGAATTTGTCTTCTTAAGATAACCCACTGAAGAAGAGATCTGGAGGTTCAAAGATTTCCTAAACCGAGGTCTAAGTTAGACTTCGTTTAAATAACGGACCCAAAGCGTTTTCCTAGGGTGAGTTTCGTTTATCAGACTCATTTTTAGTTTCGACCTCTCGCTTTTCTAGGTGCTAATGTTTTAGTTTATATACGTTTGATTGTTTGACAGATGTTATACACGAATTTAGTTTGTTCTAAATATCACAATCCTCCTGACTCCCTCTAGAGTCAAATATGGCCGGTTTTTGGTTCTATTTTTCGACTGTTAGAGCGAGTTTTCTATTGTGTGACCATTCACATGAATTCTCGTCAAGCTTCTCAGAAGTGTTTTTGCACGGGACTATTTTTTCAAGTAATATTCAAAGTGAAATTCCCAATTTTTCTCCAGTTTTTTTTCGGACAAGTAAACGACTAGAAACCTAGGACTCACCTAGGGCCACGGCGCGGTCTGATCGCTATCTTAAACGCATGTTGTCACTGGGAGGCCGGGGCGACTAAATTAGAGCCGCATATAAATTGGATCTACCTACTAGTTTGGAACAAGAATCAATCTTCGTATTTAAGCGGCATGGTTATTGCTTTAAAAATGACTTAGAAACGGGAAGAATACAAACAAACAGTGTGGTGTAAAAGCGAAGATCGCGAAAAGCCTTTGGACGAGTCGCTGAACAAAATTTATGAAAATTAGAACTTCCTCGACAAATTTGAATATTACTTAGACAGGAGCAGCTGTAACTGAAAGATTTCGAACTAAACTAGCGAAGATTTTCGTTTAGTTTCTTACCGCTGTATTGCAGGCCAAACACTGTTGAAGAACCATGGCGCAGTTCTGATCTAAATCGATAAACTACTTCGTGGTTTTGACGACTGGTTTGCTTGAGTATCAATGAGCCACAAGCTTTGTAGCCAGTGACGTCACAGTTCATGGCTTTTCTGACAAACAAGGCAGGTACTACGTTACATAATTTCCACTGAATTATAGGCGCTCAGTAACGTGTCAGTAAATTCCAGTAAACGCAAGAATTGATGACGACTACAACTGCGGAACTCGGTTGATGCTCTATCGATAGGGTTACAGAAGTTGTATCATCTTTAAGGGAATATGCAACCATAGCGCTTCTCGTTATTTATTGTTTTCAGTATTGCAATTGTTCGAGGAAGTAGGATATGTGATAAGGCGGTGCATTTTTAATCCCTTACCCTTTTGTTGTTCTTCTCCCAAACCATGCAGCCGTCTCGGGTACTTAAGCCTGATATTACATAACCGGGAGAGAAAAATATACTTGAAGTTGCTTGTTAATGATAACGTAAAACATTGATTGATTTTATCCATGGGTAACAGAAGTCTTGAACGAAAAAGTCTGGTTTTACTACACGTTTCTGACGTGAGAAGATAAAAAGTCACTCATTAGGCAACCGCATTTATTTTGACATGCTCGAAAAGTTCGAGAAAACTCCGCAGAGATGGACATAAATAGCGGCATTGTTGCAGTCTAAATACGTACGTACGTAAGAATTGTAAAATTAAAACCACGCCCGACTAAATATTATCTACAAGAAAGACCTATCGGTCATATGTCATAGCGGAAAAAGGTGCGACCAGTAAGGAATGTTGCCTTCGCCTGTTTGTCATGGCAAACGAGAAAAACAGTCGCCCATGCTAATAAAATCATACTGAAATTCGAGTTTATTTATTGTCGAAAAAAATATGGGACTGTACCATTTCTGTAACATTCAGCGTTTGACGGTTTGCCTTGCATTCTCCTGGTTAACACTTTCCGGTGGCGTATCGACCTTTACCCGGGCAAAACACAGACACAGTAAGTGACCGTGTACCGTGTGTAAGCATCATCATAGCAAACCAAGTTTTGGGTGAGATTATTGTTTGCATTAATCTGTTGGTGAGATTCTATGGTGTTACCATTCATACAAATGAAACCTCTTTGAAAAGCCTTTTAAAGAGTACTATTTAATTTGTAGGGTTTTATCAAAAAAAGATTCAAATTTTTTCCAGCTGCGTGTTTTTTTCGTGTCGCTACACTTAGAATTGAAACGGTTATTTTAATAACCGTTTTCAAAAAAAGACAGTATTACTCAGTGGACACAGCAGGCTACCTTAAAACACGAAACCCAGCTTGGGTCGACTGGACAGAGGCTTAATATAATAAAGATTTTGGGATAATAAAGGACGACTAGTCAAGCAAGTCGCTATCAACGTGCCTCTTCCAAATGGCATCTTCCTAGAATAAACATCACGCTGCAGCGCTTATTTATATTACCGTTTATTTAGCCTGCGTGGCAGGCGTTCGAAAGGGAAGGGGAAGGGACTTAGGGCACGAGACGGCGTGCGAGGGGGGAGGGAGGACGGGAACCTTTCTTCCTCGAGCGCTCTCGCGCACTCAAATTCCCCATTCCCCTTCCCCTTCCCCTTTAATCTAAACGCCTGCCACGCAGGCTACCGTTTATTTGACTCGGTCATTATAGGGTCGTGTGGGGTGGAGGTTGGCGAGGGCGTAATTAGAAAAGACAGAGGGGGTGTGATAAACTAAGTCACGTCAAAATCTCATAACCATTTGACCATGTTTAAATTTCAACATTGTTCTAGTTTTGCTTTTAATTTTATTTCCAGTTTTTTTCATTTTAACTGACTAGGATGGTGATGGGGCTCTAAGAACACTGACTTCTCTACCGGCATCTGAAGTTTTGGAGTAAGTGTTTCGCGATCGTCGCTGCAAACACAAAGAAATCATATAACTGAGAAATCTTATTTTTATGCTCCCTCGATTTCCAGTTCGAAAACTCTTAGTCAGTTCCAAGCTAACTGATTTTCTTCTCAATTTGCAATTCCAGCCAAATGAAGTTCTGTGCTGCTATCTTTCGGTTTATTTCCCGGAGGGCGTTTGGCAATCTACTCAATAGCTCTGTCGGTACCATATTTGAACAGCCCTTTCCCAGCTGAGAGGACACTGGATTTGTTCGTAAGCAAGAGAATCGTTTTCTTATGGGCTTTCTGTTCCTCTTTACTGAGGTGTGGTTTACTGCAAATCGGTTCTAGAAACAAAAGAAAAGCATTGTTAGTCTGAGTTTTTATTCCTCTATATTTTTTACTCCATCTGCTGACTGCCGTTCACGTTTCGTATCTACAATTGTAATAAACGTGGAAAATCTGTATTAACTCAGTCTAGCCTGCCTAGTTGTTTTGTATGGCGAACGCACCAATGAGCGGCAAACTACCTGGGATTAACAGTTTTAACTAAAGACGGGTTTGAGGTTGTTCCAATAGAAACTCTTAGTATCATCTGTTTTTCTTTGAAATATGGTTGAGACTGACTATCTATCGTCACACACTAGCCTGCGTGACAGGCATTCGAAAGGGAATATCAGGGAGGTGAGGGAAAGGGGATTTGGGCCTACCACGGCCGGCTAGTCGCACAAGCGCACAATTCACGCGCCAAACTAATGACGACTAAAACACGATGCCTACTAACAGTTTAGCTTTTCCCCGATCATCCATGTTCTGAACTGGTCAAAGAAGTTGATCATGCAATCAAAAACCACAAACCGTTTTTTTCCAACTGAAAGCGAGCAAATCAAATCAATCCAAAAAACAGAAAATGATTGAATCCAACGGAACACGATCCGAACGGGTCCTTTACCTTCAGGCGACCTCCGGCTTTCGTGGCTTATTTCTTCGCCCTTCTTTTCTCAAGTTTTCTGTCTCTAAACGAGAATATAATTTGGCTCGGTATTCTGTAAAAGCAAACAGAACAAAATTACTTTAAAAGCAACCTATGATGGCGAGATAACTTAATCTCGTACCCAGATCTCCCAAGGCCAAGGGAAAGTAAAACAGAGTGAGATCTGGGTACGAAATTAGAGATAACTTACTTCACTTTACTGAAACTTTCTTTACCCGAGAAATATAACTGATGAACAAGGGGGAAATGTACAGTTTTCTAACACATCCCTCCACGTCTCCCAATGACTGGTTGTCTTTGCGGGTGACTTGATTAAATTTTTTCTCTTTATCAGTATGGCGAGGTAATCATCTATCTTGACTATGCTCTTGAATAGGTAGTTAAATCCTTTATGAGCTATCCCATAATTACCTTTCGTTCCTTTGCTTTGTTTGACTATTTTTTTTTTGGTTGTTACGTATCTTCGACATTTTTTAGGTACACGTGTGCGGACTGGTGCACACTGGGTTAAAGTTGCGAAAAATTCAGAATCAGAACGTTGGTTTCGTACCTGAAAATCTTTTTCCACCGATAAAACGACTCGCTTCTTTCAAAACGTGGCCGCAGACACACGCTTTTGATGAGGCAGTCATCTAAAAATAAAGAATTGTCAACAGGGTTATGTCTCAATATAAAGTAGGGACATCGAACAGAATCGTTTTGATTTATTGCAATAAAGCCTTAAATAAGAATGAAAATGTATTAATTTAAAAAAAAAATCATGAGTCATGGATAGCTAGCGTAAATTTATAGTGATAACCCAGTCTTCTAAAGTAATAATTTGTAGCGAAAAATCCACTTAACTTGCCCTCCGGGCCGGAAAATATTATATTGAGTTGTCGATACCTTCATTAACCAGCCGGAGAAGTAAAACAACATTGCAGTGACATTGCTGAGTTAGTAAAATGAACTGAATAAGCACAGCTAAAATTATGATTAATCGGACAGCACATTTTCTGTTTTGCAAACTATTTTGACGAGACACAAATATAAACTCGCTTTACTACAAACATTATTTCTTAGAAAAAGTGGAAGACAGAGCAGACACATTCCGTCTCCCGGACCGTCGCAGGTCGCGATGCATGCATGACTCAGGGCTTTCCAAATAAACACAAAATTCTATCTCTGCAGTTTTGCAACAGAGCCACTTGCCTGGTGATTTTAAAAGGCTAGATTAAAAAGAAGAAACTTCCGAAATTAGACAGACTTTCTTGTACTTCAGAGGAAAATGATTTTTCCTGGGTGCTATACTGTGTATGTGGTCCAAAACAGATTCCTACTCACACCGACAGTTGATTTGCAAATTGTGCAGAAGTAAAATTCAGTTCAAGCCATCGACAAAAAACCAGAAAGAACGTATTTGTCATCAATAATTACACTCACCAAGGTATTACACGCAAGACACTGTTGAAGTACCATTTTTGAGCCGATATTTTCTAACCCTTAACAACAACGCAAAGGGCTGAAACAGATCCGTTTGTTTTGATTACATGAAAATGAATAATGCAACGAAGTCCATATTTAAAAGGCTCAGTTTTCGACGTCACAATGCCATGGGAATCACACTCATTGCAGCCTGACTAACTCAAGTTGTAGACAGATCTCTATTTCTGAAAGTTATACCGGTAAGTCACCCTTTTTCGGGATGAGTTAATATAACATAAAGCCTGATAAGGCCATCATATGAGATGGTGGGTCATAGAGCTTTAAAACCCATATAAGGCATTACCAATGGGTCAGAACCCCTCGAGTATGTAATACACGACACCTTTCATTTCACCTTCATTTTGCAGGGCTGAACCGGCACTAAACAAACCACCATATACGGTTTACACCAAATGAAGGGCTGCCTTTCGCTTTTATTGAACATTTCAGTTATTTATGGTCGCCGGTCGTACTAGATGATTTTACATTTCAAGTAAGTTAGCTCAAATAACTGCAGTTAGTTAGCTTTAGTTCTGATGTTGACTGAAAACACATAGCTGTTTTAATACGCGGTCACAAATACAGCTATGATAGCGGAGATGCATATGAAAAGCGCAAAATATAAACGAGAAAGCCCTATCTAGTGACAAGCGTTTTTAGAAAGGCCTGCAACTCGGCTTAATACGGGTTTTACTACAACTGAGGTACTTTATTCTGTGTTCAGTTTAAAAGAGGTATGCTTCACTGGTTTCTTTGTGGGTTGCGTGACGACACAAAGAGTCTGCTATGTATTCGATCTCTACTTTCTTGTTTTATGTCTAGTGTAAGCTAAATTTCGTGGGTCGTTGGTGTGGGTGTGGGTCGTGGGCCAAAAATATCGTTTTCCAATAAAAAATTAAATTAAAAATTACATTGCAAAAAGTTCTTAAAAATTTTGCAGACTAGGCTCTGTGAACTTAAGAAGAGCTTAGGGGCACCTGTCTTTAGATGTTAGTGGACAATACTCACATTCGTATACGTAGTAGTTTCATGGACCCTCACTCGCCCAAAAAATTATTTGCGGCAAAACAGTAACGCGGAGATGATACGAGTTTCTTTTTCTTTACTTCTTTATTTTTCGTTTTGTTTTTTTTTTGTCGTTCTTATTTTACGTTATAATTAACTTTTACAAAAATTATTTTATTATTATTTTATTTTTTTTCATGAAAATTATTTTATTTTTTCATGTTCCGGGATGTTCCAGGATTTTCCGGAATGTTCCGGCATGTTCCGGAATGTTGCGTGTTCCGGGTTTTATCGACGCCTAAGTAATACGAGCTCCGCTAAGAGGCTACACTAATTTAGACTACGAGTAGTCCCCCATTTTTCCTCAGTGATAGTAGAGCGAGCGAAACGCGAGGGCGCGTGAAAATCACCCCACGCGAGAAAATGCGACACGCGGCGGGGAGAGAGAATTTTACTTCTAGTGACTAGTGTGAAGCCCTCTGGTAGTTTGGTCAGTTTTCTTATCTTCAGGGCAAGCTAGGTTCTAGTCTGGTGGGTTTGAACAAGGCTTTCTACTCGTTTTATGTCTTATTGTTGTCTTTTCAGTGGAGTGAAAGATGTCTTACTCCGTGAACTTTGGTATTCATATCAACAGTAGCTTATAGTAGCTCACCATCTAATGGCGATTAGCAAATTTACATTCTGATTTTGATCGTCAATTTGTAGTTGCTCAGCCGTATTTGTTATGCCCCTAAGTCTTCTTGTTAAAACTACGTGCACCATCTTCCGCATCCGTGTCATGTAATTAAGCTAACGTTTTACTTGAGTCGTGTAAAGACGCGTTCATACTCCTTCTCTGTGCGTTCACCACTTCATGGTTAACTGCGCAGGAGTGGTTGTTGATTGTTATGTTAAAACATAACGCTTCTGCATATCGCTTTAACTCGCTTTTCACCATCTGACAGGGGCACCCAGCGACTTTTTTCTGTAAAATAACTGTTCGAAGAAGCAAACATTGCCTAGAAATTTCTAAAGCTTGAGAAAAGCTAAAAATTTCTGGATAACCATTCAATTCGTCTAAAATATTCGGAGGTTTTCTAATAGCTTACATGTAACGCTACGATTTTCGGAGTGTGTTATTCACATTTCAAGGCATCCGAACAGATAACTAATTTTTAGGGTGACTCCAAATTAACCAAAGGTTTCTAAAGCACAGAGAAAACCATCTGAGACACTTCTGGCGTATTTGGAACAATCGGTCGTTGGGTGCCCGTGATCTGAACGGATGGAACAGCTTCGTATTGTTGGTTTCACATGATGTCACTAAAATTCAAACTAAAAAACTATCGATCCTACCGAGATTTTACTTTCACGATGCATTAGAGCAGCTGAAAACTAATTTTCATACAAATTTTCGCCTCAAAAGGGTTCTTGGTTTTGTGATAGAGTACGCTTGAATTTCTAAGCTTTTGCGTGACGCTGCATTTACATGACGGCCAAGAGAGCTGTCATGTAGGTTAAAAAATGACTTATTTCAGGAAATTTTGCTATGTAAACAGTTCATGTACTAGAAAAAGTATTACTTTAATGTTTATGAGTTTCCCGAAGAATAAATTTACGCTTTTGTCGCAAAACTCGGTAACAGATGTTTCTGTTGGTTTCAAACAGTGCATCTGTACCATTTTAAGTTATTATATACTTGTGTAAATGTTTTATTAGTTGAACAACCAAAATATAATTAATTCGTTTTTATTTATTTTTTAATGAAGTTTAATGCTCATAAAGATTCTTTACAACCGTTGTTACAGTGATATGGGCACCCCCGCGTTTTGGGCATCCTCATTTCAAAACCTTAGTGATATGGGCACCCCCTTCTCATATTACCTTAGCGATTTGGGTTAGGGTTAGGGTTAGGGTTACAGGGGATGCCCATATCATTAGGGGTTTGGGAATGGGGATGCCCATATCACTAGGTTTTTGGGGATAGGGATGCCCATATCACTAGGGTTTTGGGGATGAGGATGCCCATATCACTAGGGTTTTGGGGATGGGGATGCCCATATCACTAGGGTTTTGGGAATGGGGATGCCCATATCACTAGGGTTTTGGGAATGGGGATGCCCATATCACTAGGGTGTTGGGGATGGGGATGCCCATATCACTAGGGTTTTGGGGATGGGGATGCCCATATCACTAGGGTTTGGGGGAGGGGATGCCCATATCACTAGGGGTTTGGGGATGGGGATGCCCATATCACTAGGGTTTTGGGGATGGGGATGCCCATATCACTAGGGTTTGGGGGAGGGGATGCCCATATCACTAGGGGTTTGGGGATGGGGATGCCCATATCACTAGGGTTTTGGGAATGGGGATGCCCATATCACGGTGACTGTGACTCCGTCATACCCAAATTTGTTCCAAAATACTGGGACAAGAGGAGGCATGGAACTTACTATGGCTCAAGGCGCCAATCACAAACTTTGCTATTTCATTCGTGTGTAGTATGTTTGTAGCATTTTCTCTTCATTTGCGTTACGTTCATTCATTTATTTCTGATTCCTGTTAACTCGCAGTTTACCACAGCTATGACAAGCACAATCCCAAGGAAGCATGTTTTCCTATGGACAGCCTTAAGATCCTGTTCATCTGCGTTTGAGCGTTCGATTTTGACTTTATCCCGCACGCAGTTGATGTCAGAACCGTTTTCTGCTTCGTTTTACTTTGGACCTCAGAGACAAAGCTGTCGCTATGATTCAAAAGAGGCTGATCCCAAAGCGAGTTACGAAAACGTTGCCAGGGAAATTGTGAATCAAGCTAATAACGATAACATTGATTTACTTTTTGTCAAGGATATGGCTTATTACATGAAAGGAAGATTGGGTTTTTTAAAGGAATTTTTTCAAGACGCGAAACATTCTTTTCTGATTCGAAATCCAAAGAAGACGATTCCTTCCCAGTATCGCGCTAGTGAAAATCCAGAAATCCAAGCTTCCGGTTGGAATTACTTTGACCCTCCAGAAGCTGGATTTAAGGAACTTTTCGAAATGTATTCGTTTGTCAAAGATAACCTTGATGCCAATCCAGTTGTTGTAGATGCCGATGACCTACTCGAATCACCAAAGGAGATCATGAAGGAGTATTGTGATCGAGTTGGTATCAAATATGAACAGCATATGACTACATGGAAACCTGGCGAAATAATCCAAGCCTGGCAAGATGGTTGGGTTATAGCATGGCGAAGAGGGGCTTTAAACAGCAGCGGTTTCATCAAATCTGACTCTTCCTCAAGTAAACCAGAAATAGAGTATCCATCTGATGTTGTCAAAGCTATGGAAGATAGCCAGGCATTCTATGATAAAATGTTTTCTGTTCGACTTAGGTTAGCATAAAAGTTGAGTCGAACGGAGTAGTCTAACGTGATCACCATGGTTAGTCCATGTGTTAGGGTACATTTTTGCTCAGTCTGCTTTAGCGCTTCTCTTCGTATTAAATCACGAATATTTCAGTATTCAGTTTATTCTATTTATTTCGGTGTTGGGCATTTTAACTTTATTCAGGGATATATAATATATAAATAAGTTTGTTTTTAGATCGGTTCGGTAATCAAAAGTTCCACTTATCTCAAATATCTTTTGTTAAGGGACAAAGGATGGTGTTTGCAAGCTGTCAGAATAGCGGGACAAACTTTAGATTCTACTGGCAAACCTTTGCTGGTCAGTTAAGTCTTTGATCAAAGATTTTTGCACCGACCTCTTTGGTGTTTAGCCTCCCACGCAGGCGTCTTTAGGGGAGCTCGGGATGAAAAACGAGCTCCCCTAAAAACGCCTGCGTGGGAGGCTATTTGGTGTTGGGATCAATCAGAAAATAGAACTGAGTTGGACGCACCGTTAATTGTAGGAAACATCATGGGGGTGGTTTCAGTCTTTCGCAACTACTGGTTTAACTAAGGTTAGGAAACACCTCTTCAAGCTTATTTAAGAAACATAGAAACAAGTTAGGTAGATAGAAATAATAACTTTCCTAAATCTTGTTGGGGCCACACGACCTCACACCTTTTTAGTTCTTTGTTCTCAGTTAGGCTATTTTCAGCCAAATTTCAATCACTTTCCTACTTTCAAACTAAAATTTCTTTCGACTGAATCTTAGGAAAATTTGGTTTCTTTCAAACCATCGTTGTACCGTTCTTGTGTAGGAATTTGGCTTATAGAGATATTTTCAGTTATGCAAATTTTTTCCACACGCAGCTGAATTCAACTAAATTCGGAATCTTTTGTTCTATCGGTTCTACCACCTCGTGACACCTATTGTGTGCATAAGAATACTGTTGACCTTTCTTAGAAACCACTTAACGTAGTAGATAAGTATAAATGAAACCACTTTTTAAGCTTAACATCGCTTAGTAAATCTTAGAAAATCTTGGAACTTAGAAGAACTAAGAAGCTCAGGAATAAACCGTTGTTCAACTCAACTTCCTGTGTACCTCGACTCTCTCAAAATCTGTACCCCTACACATGTCTCATTTAATTCTTAACTGTTTTTTTCGGTACACTTTGGTTCAGTGTTCTTTAAGAAACTACAATAAAATCAAGTCTCTCATAATGGAGAGCTAGGCTAAAGACCGCCGCCCCCCTAATGAAGCCTGTATTCTCCCGGCAACTGTGTGGTGCACATTTATTTCTTGACGTGGTCAAGGATTGTTGCTGCTAGCTTTATCCATTTCTGGGATCTGGGCCATAGACATCAAAAAAGTAACTGTTAATATGTTCTTTCTATTCTGTCGTTATCATCTCTGGATGAATAAAGGGGAGGAAAAAATATAAAAGAATAAGGATTCTTAAATACTTGCGGCCCCCAAATTAGTACCTGATCCACACCCAGATTGTAAAGAGTGGAGAGAGGAGGGTTCTTCCGCCCTCTCTCTTCACCCCAGCCTGTTCCAGGCTTCAAGATAGTGGTGAAAAGTCGTTCAGTGAAAAGGTGTAAAAGAAATGCGAAAAACGCGCGGGGGCTGGGGAGGGACATTTTTCCCGCTGCCACCGCCCCCTTTCCCAAGGCGCGCGCGTCTTATTTTCGCTCTGCTCGTTTTAGTGCGTCCCCACTATACTATCTGAGAGACTAGCACAGGCTATCTTCACCCCGACACCCTCACCCTCTCGTCTGAACACCTGGAACAAGCTACTTGTCCTTTTCGTAAATATCTCTCTCAGTTTACCAAAATACATGTCTTTTCGTACCAGTTTACAGACGGATTCCTGTGAATATAGCTATTTATCGCATCACAGAGTTAGTTTATCGTAGCGTGACACTATTTACAGTTCTTGCGTGNGTGAAAAGGTGTAAAAGAAATGCGAAAAACGCGCGGGGGCTGGGGAGGGACATTTTTCCCGCTGCCACCGCCCCCTTTCCCAAGGCGCGCGCGTCTTATTTTCGCTCTGCTCGTTTTAGTGCGTCCCCACTATACTATCTGAGAGACTAGCACAGGCTATCTTCACCCCGACACCCTCACCCTCTCGTCTGAACACCTGGAACAAGCTACTTGTCCTTTTCGTAAATATCTGTCTCAGTTTACCAAAATATATGTCTTTTCGTACCAGTTTACAGACGGATTCTTGTGAATATAGCTATTTATCGCATCACAGAGTTAGTTTATCGTAGCGTGACACTATTTACAGTTCTTGCGTGACAAAAGCACGTGACCTCGGATACAAAAAGAGTTTGATGACATAAAATCTTTCCTTTCACTCTGGAGCGAGGACACGACACCTACAACCTGGCTTTCGATATGGTGCTAAGACAGTGTGTATCTTGTAACTCAACGGTAACTATTCACTGAAACTAATAATTTTTCGAATTACTGTTTATTATCATTTTTCGGGATCGCGCGATGAATGGTCGTGAATGTCTTGACCATCAGTCATTAATCGTAGAAGTTAGGAGCTGAACGTGCATCCTATGCATTACGTCAGAAGCAACAAACTTTTGTGTGACTAGCGCAAATTTAATGCCTTTTATTGATTTATTCAATGAAAAGAAGTAAGAGGACGATCACAGAGGAGTTAGATTAGTTGCGTCAAAGAGTGATAGTTACTAGGAGAATATAGTTTCCTAATTCTTCAGCAGTTTCTCCATCTTGTCGGCGGTTTCTTATAAATGTTTGAGAAATTCCTTTGAAATTTGGGACAAATATAACAATGTATAAAATAACCGAGAAATCTGAGAGATAGTGACTTTGTTGTTTGGCGTTCTGCGTTCTATAGTCTGTTACGGTTGAGTGGCCTTCGGGCAATTGTTCGGTATTTACTGCAGTCCAATTTGATTGTCAGTTTTAAATTGTCGTTACACGTTCATTTTTTTTCGTTTCTAAATTCTCTACTAATTCTGCTTGACAACGATGTCTTTTATCTAGAAACCGCATAGGAGCAAGCTATTCACAGCCGTGAAGTCATGACCGTTAAAAGAAATACAGCACGTGGCGAGTCACGCGGCTAAAAATTCCCCAGCTGATTCACGCGCTCTACTCGAGAAAATGTAGCGACGGCTTTAAGTTACTGATCGTTACTAGTAGTCGCTCTGAAAACACTTTTTGATCTTGGGCAAGGCTTAAGGAAGAAACGAAAAAATTCAACTGCTGCGAAAAAATTGAACTGCTGCTAGAGCCTCCGCTTTCGAGAGTGGGTGTCCTTCTCAAAGAGAGTCCAACAAAGGCTCCGCAGTGGGGGAAAAAGGCATAACACCGCCGCCCCTTTCCCCTCCCCAGACTACCTCTCGGATGTTTTTTTTCGCCAACCCCTACTTTTTTTCCTTTTTCCCCCAATGCGGAGCCTGGTCCAGGCTAGTCTTGTGATAACATTTTTGGAGCCTCAAGCCCCTCTCTGGACACTTTCGGACTGGGCGACTATTACAGTGCTAGCATTTTCGTCTCTTTGCTCTTTCGCCCGAGTCTCGCCTTTAGAGACAGCATGCCGCCTCTCTAGAAAGTCTCTCTATCAAGCGAACAAAGAAGGGGATAACATGGTCCCTTATGATACCTCTATAAGACGTCCAGTCCCTATAGCGGACACCTAGAGTTGGTCCATACTGTTGTTCAGACATTTTCTATGACTGGCTTTACGCCTGACACCTCCCTCAGTAAGATTGACACTCGGTGCCGGTCCCAACAGGGAGTTAATTCAAATGTATTTACTTCATTTCCCTTTTGTCAGATTTTAGGAACTTTGCCGTTTTGCGAATGTGGCCGCGTTTTTGAAGACATTCGGCAAGTAGGAGGAAAAAGATTTTCAAGTAAGTATTAAGCGCACCACCACTTCTTCTATGACCACTTCTTCTTTTAAGGGCGCAGCGCGTGGCCGAGCGGTTGGAGGGCTGGAGTTGTAATCCGGACGTCCTGTAGGTAACCGCTAGTTGGATTTGTCCACGTAACTGTAGTCCCCCGAGTTTAACTCTTAGGTCACGCTTATACATAGCCAAGTGGCGACCAGTTGGGATTCTTAACCTTGCTTTAGTTAGGGTTAGGGTTAGAATAAATACTACCAGGTGGCCAGTAATTGTGTTACCACTATAAACTCAATTTTTGTCTTTCCTCGTCTTGACTTCCCGTGACTGAGTGGTAGGCTAGGAAGCTTACAATCTAAAGTGTATTTACTGATTTTGATGCCAACTTGCTATTTTTGTCCAAACATCCGCCAACAAAGTGGGCAATATCAGCACACCAGTGCACTGACCACTCTTTTTTTATGCCCGTCACCCAGTTGTTACAATAGTTAAAGAAGGATTGGGGAGGAGTATCTGGCGCAGGCCAAAACAAGTTCTTCGCAAGCATTTTTTACAGAGATCTGTTTCGCTGTAAATTTTTAGAATATCGTGCAGACCTGTACACGAAGCTGGAAGCTAAACGATTGAAGTGCAATGAAAGGGCGAAGAAAGTACTAGGTGGTGACTCGGATTCTGCTGATGAACACCAGAAGCAGGTAACGCAACATGTTTATGTCACGGTTGTGCTCGGAAACTACCTTACTTAGCATTGGCGATTACCTACATTGCAAATAATTTTGTGCATTCTTACAGATCGTATTTCAACCTAAACGGATCCCTCCTAGTGTATCATTACGTACCAAAACTCGAAGAAGTAGAAGAAAAAGAAGAACACATATAAAATCTTCGCAGGAGGATCGCCATGAAAGGTCACTTTCTCTGTTCCAGTCCCCTGAAGAGGAAGCCGCACGTCTTTCACGAGCTCTTCAAGAAATAAACAGGAGGATCATGGGACAGTCTATGGTGTGGTTGAATTCTTTGTAGATATGTGAATGATACATGTTTTTGCTGGTTGAACGATGCTTCAAGATGCCTCTCGAAATGTTATCCAAGGACATGCATATGTAGGGTGCCGTCAGGTTAAAGCTTCCGGCGCAGATGACAGCTGTATTTTCAGGGGAAACGAATCACAGTTTTTCCGTGGATTTGTCTTTTACTGACCTGAGTTTTAATAAGAAGTGGTGTTTGTCAGAGAAACGATGCTTTGAAATTACTTGGACGAGACATAATAAAAACACAGTATAAAAAGTTTATGCTACTTTTTTTATTACACTATCTTGCTTGTTTCTTCCATGTGTTGTTCGATCTCTAGTTGGAAACCAAACGTACGCTTATACAGTGGCCATTGGTATACCGTAAAAGACCCAAATAACGCGCTCTTCCAAATAAACGCCTCGCATGTAATAAACACGGCCTCTACGCTGTTAAAATTGTATTGGACACCCCTCTCTAATAAACGCCCCTATGAGACTAGGAATTAGCAAAAAGGAGCAAAATCATTCAATTCATCCAATTTCTTACCTGAGTAACAAGACCATTCTTTGCGTATTTCATCCGTTGATCAATGCCAAATTCAAAGTAAGGATAAACTAACGATGAAAACACAGTAACCCTGAGCGAGGGTTCTGACATGGATGTTGGGATTTGAAAGAGTGATAAGGAACTCTAGACAGGCGGCCTATCAATATTGAAGTCATTGATGGAGTGCTATTTTTTAACTCTCTTGATATTTTCGCCGACAGCATATTATTTTTGTCAGGGTAACCGGCTCCTGTTTTTGTTGAGCATTTTACAGTCAGTAAGAGAATAAACTCATCTCTCTTTTAAACGCGTCCTACCTATTAAACGCCCCCGCTAGAACCCCCAAATCAAACAGACGCCCCGGGCGTTTATTAGGTCATTCACGGTAAACTAGGACAGTGGAGGTTTAAAGCTAATAAACGCGTACCAAGTGACCAAGTTTCTCTTTTACTTGTCGTTTACTGTTTATTATTTCTACACAAGCAATTTTTTATCCATAAGAATTGTTTTGAACCTTTTTTATCTGCTCGTTTTCTATTGAGATATTCTAGTCGTCGTTGTTTGAGTTTACCTGTCACGCATATTCAGGGAGACGTCAGATTGACGTAAGATGACCTTGACACTCGCGCGTAGTTGACACGTTTATCAAACTTGTTCAAAATAGTCGTTTCTCTGCCTTGTTTTTTTACTTTCCCTTTGCAAGAATACAAATATGGCGACGTTCGGTGATCAATAACTCTGTCATGCAACAGCTACAATGTATCGCTTGTAATCTAACGGTAAGTAAGTTTTTTTTACGTCATTGGTGTAAGGAAAAAATCTTTAAAGTGATGACCTGTGAGAGTATGGAACTAAATAAGCTAAATAAGTGAAGAAATGTTTCCTCGATCTAGTGGCTTAATTTTAATTCAGTTCAGAAGTCACAATAAAACCAGATTACGAGCTGACCGGTTTTCGTCCTCATCCGTAGATCTTATCAGATTTGGATGTGAATAAGGGCCACGCCAAAATGTTTTTCTCGAAGATTGTTAACTTCTGTTTTATCAAAATACTTCTTTAAAAGAGTGTGATCGATGATCTACTATTTGATTGCTGATCAACTAAAATTTACTCAGAATTTTACCAACATTTTTGTCCCTTGCGGTTCCCGACTTTTCTAGGAAAATTAAAAGGCCTTTGCTCGCAGCTGACAACGAGCAAACGTTGCAAACGCGGACATTGGAGGTATTTCGTCTTGATGCAAGCTCTTATAAGTGTGAGATCAAACTGTTGACTTGTTGATTCTCATTAAACTTTCCTTCAGCAAGTTCAAACCTGATTTAAGCAGGGCGGGAAAGAGTTAGCTGTTTTGTACACTCTAAGAACGAAAACAAAACGAAAACATTAAGAGATTTAGCACGTATAATTGAAAATTTTGACTAATGCTGGCTTTTACCCGGCAGAGAGAAATTAGGTGCATGAACAATAGGCCACTTGCACTAAGAGGTCACGTGACCAATGCTTCCTTTAAACAATGAGTTGGAATCTTGCTGATGCCAAAAATTGACAGAGCGCGTAAAAATTATCTTACACNTATTTCGTCTTGATGCAAGCTCTTATAAGTGTGAGATCAAACTGTTGACTTGTTGATTCTCATTAAACTTTCCTTCAGCAAGTTCAAACCTGATTTAAGCAGGGCGGGAAAGAGTTAGCTGTTTTGTACACGCTAAGAACGAAAACAAAACGAAAACATTAAGATCTTTAGCACGTATAATTGAAAATTTTGACTAATGCTGGTTTTTACCAGGCTGAGAGAAATTAGCTGCATGAACAATTGGTGAATTTTGGGGTGGCTAGGAAACGAAGACCTAGGACCTAAGACCCAAAATCGAACCCCCCTCAAGATCACTTACAAAATTAGTAGAAACGGCTGTATTGACCTGAGTTGTGTAAGTTCAGTACAAACCTCCCCAAATGTAGAAAACAAAGGTCGACCCCCTCATTCTGTCTTGCTAGAAGTCGTTTCGAGCCGTTTTCAAGTCATTTTGAGGTGAGGTCTTCGCTCTCTACATTTGGGGGAGTTTTGTAGAAAACGAAGACCCTGGTCAAATTTATTCATAATTGAAAATCTTTTTGTTTCTTACAAAACTCTGCGTCTAGAAGCCGTTTCAAGCCGTATTGAACCGTTTTCAAGTGATTTTGAGGGGGTTCTTCGTTTTCCTTTTTTTGGGGGTGGGAGTGGGGAGGGGGTTATAAAAAAACGAATACCCTGGTCAAATTTATTGATAATTGAAGATCGTGTTGTTTTTTACAAATCTCAGGTCGATATAGCCTTTTCTAGCTATTTATAAGTAATTTTGAGAGGCGTCTTCATTTTTGGGTATTAGGTCTTAGGTCTTCGTCTTCTACCCACCCGTGAATGTTGAAGATGGATGAAACTTCGCCTTCCGTTTAATCCCTCGAGGATCACTAGCAGTGCTAAAACAAAGTTTTTCTTTTTTCTTGGGTTTAAAACAGATACCTGATTCATACTCGGCAGATGGATGTTGTTCCTGTGGTCACGTGTTCACAGAGAAAAAGCTGATTGGTGGAAAGAGATTTTCGGGTAAGTGTAATATGCATCTTTCCACCGAAGAAAAGGTGATTAGCGTGGATATGGATACAGATCTAACTCGATGCACCTACCCTGATGGGGATAGCTGTTTCCGCATTTACCAAATCAGTTGGATAAAAATGGAGAAATACGTTTCGGAGATGGTATCTCCTTCCCGAGCAACCCCCCATGGCAATTTAATCTTTTGATAAAAAACCGTTCTAATTTCGCCCTCCCCGAGCCAAATCGTACGTCCAGTTAACCTCACCCCCAGGGAGGTTCAAAAAAGGACCAAATTGCTCTTTTAACTATGAAGTAGCTTTCTAATGCTCTTGAAGTCTTGTCTAGAGTCGTGTCTGGGGCAGCATTAGCTGTGAAATCTTTATCTGTTTTTTGGTTTATTTTTCTTAGCAGCCACACCTTACCACGTCATACCATGTAACTTCCCTTTATTATTTTACAGTATATATTCTGTATATTCGTGGTTTTTCCTAATAACCCTGATGAAGACTGGTATTGGCCAGTCGAAATATTGTATACCTCAGCCTTTTTCACGCTGTTTGATCAGTCTTTGCAGTAGCCTTATTGACTTTAATGCTATTGTTAGCTGAAAATCTTTATTTCAAAATTATCATCGGCTACAAGAACGGAAACATATGACGTAAACATCGAAGAGTTTGCTCACTACCGGAATCGGGTATTTAGTGTTCAAATACTATAATGGAAAAATCCGTTTCCCGTGTGAAGAACTTCTTAAAGATCGGCTTCAGATTAGGCTTTTGTACATTATGCTCTTGCTTCCCTACTAAAATGCTCCACCTTAATGCTCCATTTTTCCTACTAAAATGCTCGGTCTCCCCAAAAAAGTCACTAAAATGCTCGGTTAATGCTCATTATACAAACGTTTTTTTTTAATTAATTTCAAAGTTTACACTTACAAAAACGTGCAAGTGTTGCAAGTAACAACAACAACGTGTACAAGTTCATAAATACAGCCAAAGAAAACAGCTGTATTAGGTTTTTTTGTGAATTTTGAGTTTTAGTCTTCATTTTGTTTAAAAAAGCAGGAGCTCATGGGGCATGGGCTCCTGAAAAAAGTTAATTTCCATTTTATTTTCTCGGAAAAATTAATTTTCCAGGGAAAATGCCACTAAAATGCTCGAATTATGCTCAATGCTTTTGCCTCACTAAAATGCTCGAAAAAATGCTAGCATAATGTACAAAAGCCTACTTCAAATTAGATTTAAACATCTAATTTGAAGCCAATCAGAACAGTACTATATCAAACGCATTGTTTCGGAGTCAATTTACATTTAAACGCCCTCTTCTTGCGACAGACTTACAGAGATTATACGGAAAAAACATAATCTCAGGCTAGCTTGGTATTTGGTAGTACAGCTAAAATGTCTTCTTCCAAAACTGTCGCGAAACGAGTAATGACTCAGTAGTTCTTATTTTTTGTGGCAACCTTTTAGTTTCTGGATAGTATCAGTGAAGTTTACCGTAGTAGCACTTTTTCACAGAATACCGGGCAGAGCTTTATTCTCGTTTGGAAACCAAGAGACAGAAACTTTTACTTACGGGAAGCACGTCCGTCAACAAGGAAGTCCAAGGAAAATGCAGTTTTGAGGTAATGTAATCATTTGATTAATCTTGGTGGTGCTGTGTCAGAAACAGGGACTTATGGACAAGCCCAACGATGTATTTGGCATAATGAAAACATCGGTCGTTAAAAAGGTTTTGTCTTGTCTAGAATTACTTAATACGTGAGATTATATTTTTTTAAGTTGTCTTTACCCATGAAAAAAACGAGGGAAAGGATTGTAACTTGGAAATTAGGCTAATTTTCAAAGTTTAAGTTGTGTTATTATGTTTAAGACAAATCGCTGAAAAGGGTATTACTAACCTTTTACGTATTTTAATAGAACTGAAACTAGGGCTGACTTGCGTTGTTTAGTGACATGTTTAACTGCCCCTTTTTGGAGGGAGGGGGGTGAGGGGGAGGCCACTCCAGCCTATAAGCTATATCGTCACCTAATTTTCAAGCAGTTCAGGTGATGAAAGTTTTAATTGAGAAAATAGAAGAGAGTATTAATTTTGTTAAACGAAGTCAAACAGCAGTCGAGTGAGACGACGTTGCCAAAGGAACAGATAATTGTAGACTTGTGTTAATACTCCTCCAACGTTTTTGCAATGGTACTTCGAAACAGATCGTCTGTTAAGATTTTGTTGGTCTTGTATCGCATAACTTGTTCGTTTGTTTTTTGTCCTTATTATCCCACAGCGTTCAGTAAGTTTAAAGGTTCAACTACCAAGAATACCAAACACGGAAAGCATCGTCAAAAGAAGCCCCGGGCAAAGATCGAAAGAGGCCGCTACGGGAAGATCCAAACCAGTCATCCGAAGATCACCCAATATGCAACCGCAGGCTGTAAAACCCCAGCTAGCTCAAGCTAAAGTATTACAAAGTCTTCTTCGCAGATTCCCCAGCGCCCTGGCTGAAATAAACAAACGTCTCATCTCACAGAATCTGTTATGGTTCACAATTAACGATCGCACGAACACTCAGCGACTGGAAATTCCCAAACGAAATGTTTGGAGAGAGTTTTCGGAAACTGTTTAACTTACTTCTGTTACAGAGTGGTCAAAAAAAAGAAAAAAAACAAATCTTAAATCTTTAACCGTCATTTGTTGAGTAATTAAATCGTCATTGAAAAATGGTACTTTTCCGGCATAATTATAAACTTGCAGAGTAGTCATTCCGATATTATAATTATGAACTCATCTGGCAATTGACAGTTCTAAATCACCGGCCATTTTTCAATGTTTTTTCATACTTACAAAACACTCTATTTTGTAATCACGGAAACATTTACAAGCAGGAAAAAAAAAACGCATTTTAAAGCACTTTACATGTACATTATTTGAAAGTTAGAAAGTACCTCAGTAGCCTTGTGATGTAACAGAGCCGTTTCTCTAACCTTTTATTTGGAATGTGCATAATATTATATAAGTAAATAAAACTTTTCAGCTTTGTGTGAGTATCGTCTAGAATATCCAATAATGCGATAAAATAACTTGGGACTTTGGCTTGCCTGATCCGGTGTATCACAGCCTCCGGCCTCGTTTGTTTAGTTTTGTAGCAAGTCTTGTGACAGATATTGGTCCTTTTGTAGAGCAGCTGCCACACTGTTTATGAGCTATGAGGTAACTTGTTCTATCTATTCCTATTAGGAAAGCGATTTAAGGACGTTTTGTGTGCCCCCGATAAACTCGTCGGTTTTGTTTTGGCCTTAAAACGGTCTCATTTTTCAGGTTTGGGCCTTAAATAGGGCATCAGCCGAGTTTCGTTTAACCCGTCCTTAACCCCCCCCCGGGGGGGGGGGGGGGGCTTTTGTTCTTCTCCGACATCGAACGTGAGGGTGCCCTCTGCCTTCATGCTCAAAATAAAAACGCGTAAGAGCCCTGAGCAATATGCCGCCAAATCGCCTCAAGAAATGTCTCTCGCTAATCGTTTTCTCAGTAGTGTTTGGTAACATATGGCAAACATGTATCTCGATGAACTCGTCGAGTTAACTCAACAACACCAAAAGCTTTATTTGCATGACCATAAAGGAATTACAGTATTGCAAAAGCTATTAGTCTAAATTTAAGTACTAATTCAACTAATTAACTCAGTTCATAAAAATATTGAATGTGAGAACGCATTTCACAGGGTACCTGAAAAATGATGGCGATACATGTGAATAAATAAACGTGAAATATGGCTTGAAAATGTGCAAAGAGTGTCAATCTCTGCAAAATGAATACTTGATACTAACGTCAAGCAAACGCATAATGGACATAATACAAAAGATTATTTTATTATTTTTATTTTTTGGTGTTTTTTTACATCTTCATTGTCATGAACTCTTTCTAGTTATCGTAAAACCAGCTTTGTAGCTCTCAACATTGTCTTGAAGCTTTGCTTGACCAGGAAATCAGAGCCTAGAAAAAGTTCACTGGCGAAAAATGTCTACGCATGCTCCGCCATGTTGAATTTACTCTATGTCACGTGGTCGCCTATCGACCAGTCAGACATTTTTCGCCAATGGGGATTTAGCTCAAAGCTACAACACATTCGTACTTTCCGCGGACTACTCCTGGCTTGATCCGGAAGAAACGCTTCACGTAAAAGCAACAACAGCTATGGCTGTGAATGCCAAGGCCTAATAGTAGACTATTTAATCTAAACCAGATTTGGGCGCTTTTAATGTGGTGCCGCTGTGTTAGACCGGTCAGTTACGACTTTCGAGCGATTTTTTAAGTCTACAAACGTTCCTTATTTTACTGAAGGGCTCGCCGCGATTCTCTACGTTTCATGGCTGGGCGCACGGGTTATGATGTGCTTGTCCGTGGCATCTTTATGTTAAAGGGGCAAAGAGAAAGCATTGTCATACTTTTTGTACGCCATCTTTGGTATCCTTTAAATATCTACAACAATTTTTAACCTTGTTTACGGTGATTTCCTTTAATTTATACCCTGCAAATTTCTACGGGCTCCCTTTGATTGGCCAATTTAAATTACTTCTCAACTCTGAAGTGAGGAGAATCGCGGGCGCATCGAAACCTCTACGGCTTGAGGCCGACATGGAGCACAACTTTAAGGCCACATTCGCACGTTACTGGTCAAATATTTGATCGCTAGAAAATTCGTCTGTTCGTTCACACGTAACCACTGTAACAGTTCCGCCAAATATTTAGACGCCTAACCGTTAAAAAATTTAAACGGGAAAATCGAGCTCAAAAATTTAGGACAAAAATTTTTGTGAATATCATGAAGGTCTAGCTGATTTTTGTACAACAAAGGCATAAATACGTGGTCAATGTTTTTCAGCCGGTCCAACATTCGTCCTGTGCCGTGTGAAAGTAGCCTGAAACTGATAAAAATGTAAATTAAGTACTGAAACACCTCCATAGCACTGTAATAAGTACTAAAACACCTCCACTGCACCACTGTGGTTGTCAAAAGTATGCTGTTGAGAAACATGGTGACTGATGATGACTATGCCGTGGCTGTACCGGTTCTTGAACTCAGGGAGCAGATGTAATTAAATAGAATGAATTAATAGTTATTGTCAGTAAGTACAGCAGAATATAACTAGTCATTCCTGCAAATGTCCGCAGTTCTCACACCTGTTCCAGTCTGGTGTCGGCGGCCGGATGTACTTAGTTTAACTGCTTAATTTCCACACTAGATTCTGGAAGTGAATCTTTTTGTTAATTTCCTCAAGAGCTTTGGAAAACCTGCGCATTTCTTCAGTTGAGACCGTTCTTCTGTCTTGCAAGCTCGAGTACTTCATGTATGGTGTCTTGGCAGGTTTCTTTTTTGTTGGATACAGCCCTTCCACCCGCCGCTGAAACAGTCGGCTTTTCTTTGACACCTTGGCTGGCGCTGCTATGGAAGCAGCTGGCTCGTCGACGACCTTTTCATAATCCGAAAATCAACTTAATTAGAGGAAGCATTCAGTCAGTCAGACCATGATTTTTAACCATTAAGTCAGTAAGACAATCACATAGCAAGAAGTTAGAAAAAAAGTTAATTGAACAAACTTTAGAACTCAGGCACAATCAATCACTGTGACATCTGCCAGCCAAAAGGTTAGAATTACTTACTTGTTGTATCAGGAATTTAACAAGTGCAATTTGCTTTATGTTATATTTTCTAAGACAAAGCATTCATAAATATTTTCTAAAAGCACACAAATATAAATACTATATTGAATTTGACGATCAGCCAGCTCCAGTTGCAGATAGGTCTCCCATTCATTGGCATTGCAGTCAATCAGTTCGTATGTGTGCCATTTTCTTAGTGCAAAGCTGATTCAGTCTATCAGTCCACCGGATAGCCTCCTAGCCCTCCTACGCAGAGGTACATGTCCCATCAACGATCCTTGCGCCACCGAGCTAAGAGAACCTCTCAGATCCGAGAGAACCTCGATCAATCCGAGAGGGTGGGGGTTGGGGGGCGGGGGGGGGCTACTCAACAAAGTTTTATACGGGCAGGCTCGTTAGATATCTGAGTTAGATATCATTTTTCCCTTGTTGATACTTTAGCTTATTCGACCTCCCTGTCATTTTTTTAGTTTACTAACCTTTTCGCCCACTTCCTTGCTTTTATAATTGTCGGCATTGTTGTTTTGGTCTACTGTTTGATCTCCATTACATGGCGTATTTTCTTTTGACAACTTCTCCATGCGTTTGTTTTCTAATCTCCAGTACAACTCTGCTCGATATTCTAGAAACCAAAAAAATCGTAAAACTGACTTAAAACACGTGATGCAAAATATATTTAGCCTGCGTGGCAGGCGCAAAAAGGAAAGGGGGAGGGGGAGGGAGAAAAGCACGAAAGAGGGAAAAGGGAAAGGAGCGCCTGCTCTAAGAGCCGGGGTTTTTGTAATCGGCCCACCATTTTCTCAACTAATCCGATAATGTCACTGTCAATACGTGACCAATTACAAGTACGGGGCTTCTCAGCATGGTCCGAACTTAATTACTTTGTTTACCGGAAATTGTCAAGTTGAGACGCTTTTATCAAGTGATATCATAATCGAGCGAAATGAAACATTTTTACTGTTCTTGCTCCCGCAGCAAACACGACCGACATAGACTACTAGCAGTCTCTCATTTTTTTTACTGCTCGCAGTCTACGACAAAGAATCATCAGTTTCGTGTGAATACACAAGACCTTTTATCTTACAACCTCATGAAGCACTGTGATCAGGGGCACCCAACGAGGATATAGTTCAAAACCACTTAACACAGCATTGTTGAACGTAGTTTAGTGTTTAAACGGTAGATATAGGCATATTTTTATTCCCTAAAAACTTTTCATCTGTTCGGATTTCCTAGCTGAAAGTCTATTGATCCGAAAATTATAGGAATAAAAACTTAGCTTCTCGAAAATTTCAGCCAGGAAAAGGCTCCCGAAAATTCTAGGTGGCGTTTTTTAGGGTCAAAATCCCTTAAAAATGGGCAATTATACCATTTTGTAGGTGTTCGAAAATCCTGGGAGAGGCAGGCAAGCAAGAAATTTTACAACAACTAATCCGAAAATTCTAGATCTCAAATCGTCGTCCGAACAGATATTTTCCGAAAATTGCCGTTGGGTGCCCCTGTGTGATGGTCACAAAGAACAGAACACTGGCCAGCCTGAGACGCGAATAATGAAAGTAAAGGAGAATTATAAACAATTGTCAAAACGCTCAACGGATAGTCTTTATCAAAGCTTCATCTCTCTCTTAGCAAACCATTTAAAACTCCACTCAAGACGGTATATGTTTTTGCGGAAAAGGAAGTCTTTTGAATATCGGCATTGCAGATGTCTGGCAAGAATCGCAATCGCTTTGAATCGCTGCTCGGTGTATGGACAAATCCAGTAAACAAAACCTCCTGAGCATCTCTGCCTGCTAACAAGCTGTTACAGTTGGTGTTAGTTCGAGTTTTAACGTGAAGTTGCTACATGATTGGAGTAATTTTGATCTTCCAAAGCTTATGCCAGTAGAACACATTTTCTTGATGCCTTCGTCATGTTTGTCTCTCACACTAATACACGCTAGGATACACGTCAATAAGTTAATCATTACGGCTCAGCCAATCAGGAATTTGCGGACGCCAGCGTCCGCAGAAATGAATAAAAGGGGGTTCTTATAGCAGGCGTCCCTTCCCCTCTCTCCCCTACCCCCGTCCCTTTTTCCCTATCCCCTACCCCTTTCGACGCCTGCTAGGCAGGCTAAATATATTTAAAGTTGAAGCACGAGAGAAATGTCTAAAGAGCGTTTACACATGACGTCACGGCGGCCATATTGGTGTTCCAAAACAATGAAACGGCGGCCATGTTAGTTTACCAAGACAATTCTATGGGTGTTTTAATTTTTCTGTCAGAAATCAGCATAGCTGCTGGTCACGTGAGTGAAAACGCTCCGTACCCTGTGATATCGAGTCTGACCTGAAAATCTTTTTCCTGCTATTTGCTTCACATCCTCAAACACGTGACCACATTCGCACGTTTTGCTTGACTTAGGAACCTAATAAGATGATATAGAGACGTCAGAAATGAATACAGTCACATGAGAAAGAGGCCAATATTCAAATAAGCTTGGTCATAAAAAAGATTGATGATATGACCAGAAGTATTTTTTCAATGCGGGCAACCAGTCTACCTGAACTTCCCTCAAAGCTTTACCTTGTTCGCTGGCAGCGCTTTCGGGACTGGCCATGTGACAAACAAGTAGACACATTCAAAATACCGGCCCCACTGAAATGTTGCATTACTCAACCTTAAGTTATGAAACGATGATTTAAAGAAATAAACAACAGACAATACTCATTAAGGAAGTATATGGCATACTGTTCGATTAAGGCAGGTTTTTTGAAAATGAAGACAAGCTCCCCGAAACTCGTGGCTAGTTTGGAGTCGCTAGAAAGAAGGATTTGATTAGTATGTATCGAGGCGCTCTTGTTAGCGACTTGGTAACATTTTGGTCTACTTTAACAAATAAGCGAAGAATTTTAAACTGCTCGATAGATATTTTTAAAAATTTGAGATTCTCGAGATTAACCGTCGTTTTATATGACCTTTGAGTTTCAAGATTATTGATTTATTGCAAGAGAGTAAAATAAAGGTTACAATTCGCTACTTTTTGTCAGAAATTTCGTGTTTACATGTGAGAGCCTATCATTATTCAGGGGTATTGTCTCCAAGTTTCATATTTTCGAGGACAACAATAGCTAACATTTCTGGACATTTCAAATGCATTGTTAGCTACCGTTGTTCACGTGAAAATGAAACTTAGAGACAATACCCCTGAATAGTTAACACTAAATTGCTGACAAAAAATTACCCAATTGTTGCCCATATTTCAAGTAATATATCAAACATGAGATGCAGTGTTTCATCACCAGATGAAACACCGAGAAGAGAGTTGAAAATACGACGCGCAGCGGAGTATTTTTGACGAACTTCGAGGTGTTTCATCTGGTGATGAAACACTGTGTCGAATGTTTGATATTTCTTCTCAAACAAAATCATTTTTGAAGGAGAAATTAAGGATGCAAATACTAAGCAGTGTTTCATCCGATTTCCAAACACTCATTAAACATTAATTTCCTTTGTATTTTCTTAATGAATTATTAATGAGTTTGAGAATACCTTATAATGATCATAAAACGACGGTTGCGACCTCGAGAATCTCAAATTTTGAAAAAATCTATCTAGCGGTTTAAAAAAAATTTGCTAATTTGTTAAAGTAGACCAAAATGTGTACGAAACCGCCAACAAGGGCGCCTCGATACATACTAATCAAATCCTTCTTTCTCGCAATCGGCTGGAGCTATCTCCATGATCTTTCTCACACGTTTTCAAAAGGACTGAAACTATTATGAGGTGAAATTGCATTTCAAAAGCGCTTCGTTTCCTACAGATAACGGCCGAACATCAAGACTGTCCAGTTTTTACCGCAGTATTTCTAACCATAACAACTTAACCCCTAAATATCTCGATAAAGCTGTTATAGATTTCGCTTAAACGTCACGAACATCGAGGCGGCTATTGAAGGAAAAATCTCCCTTCAACGAGTTTAAAAGAACACTGGGTTCCTATTGCCGAGAAATACGGCTGCAAGTAAAATAGGTAATGGCGTCATTACGTTGCTATGAGAACTCCGATGTCATTGCAACCCTGATCATAACAAATTTTGATCTTTATCTAATACAGCTGCGGTGGTAATTTTTTCAAATCTTTGTTAATGGCGTCGTAGTTTATGCTCAAACTTGGGAGGCATTGATCCTTAAAAACCCTGTCGAGCCACCTTAAGTGACGCAGAGTCGTTAAAAATTCGAAACAATCTTCCATAACGGATCGATAGTTGTCGACATTATCCATGTCTCCTGTTAAAAGTTGGGAAGTTGGGAAAACATGACGGCAAGATTGCAAAGATTGTTTTGCAATTTATTCAGTGCTAGGTTAAACGTTTTTCTTACGTTTTGGCATTGCCACAGTTTCGCAAAGGCAGCTGTGCTAATTAACTCATTTTTTTTCTCTTTCTTTTTGTCGTTAAACGTGATCTTCTACACAAACAATTTAGGGTGATGGCGTTTGTCTTTGCAGCTTTGGAGTGTTGAAAGGAAGCTTGTGCAAGCCGTTGGCAAGCCTTTCAGACATTAAAAGATCAAAATACCGTATTTATTCGAATAGGCGCCCAACCTCGAATTAGCGCCCACCTCGAATAAGCACCCATCCTAAAGGCAGAAAAAGTTAATAAGCGCCCACCCCCTCCTCCTCCTCCCAATCAAACTCAAATAAACGCTCACCCCCACCTCACCCACTTGAGTGAATAAATTCTAATAAGAGACTTCCCTGAGGACGAAGTTTTCTTCCGAGTATTTTACAGAAACCTTGCTTTGTTACTTCTTCGCGTTTTGTTAATAGCATTTATTGTTTTGTTGCAAAATAAACATACTTCACTTGCTGAAAATGTTGAAAATTTAATAAGCGCCCAGCCTCTCAAGGTCCAAAAATTTAATGAGCGCCCAGGGCCTAGTTGTTCGAACGCCGGTTAGCTCTAACCCAGGGTTAAATTTTAACCTCGGTTTCTTTTTCTTTTTATCAAAAGCACTCTCTCGCATGATTTTCTCTATTCTTTTTAGAGTATCCATTCATCAAATTGTAGGCAAAGAGAATTTCACTGGATTTGTTTTTTAAGCTCTCATATTTGAGTTCAAATTTCGCACTAACCCTGGGTTACCCTAACCCAGCTTCGAACAACCCGGCCCAGGGTGGTTCATCGAATAAATACGGTAACTACCGTGAGCCTAAATTCGAGAATTACGTTTTCACATCAATGACGGTTTCTTAACATTGGCAGTCAGCGCAGTAGACAAAAATGACCAAGTCTCGTTAACAAGTCGGGGCTGGAAAAGGATTCGATAAGAAAAGAAGAATAATGGGATGTTCATAATTCTATCATTCCTGCTCGGAAATTTTAGTTATTCCATGCAAGAGAATTCTCTCTTGTTCCATGTTATAAAATCTTGTTATTCCGGACAAGGGATATTCTCCCAAAAAGGGCGTTATTCACTTATTCAGGAGACAAAATTTATGTTACTCTTGTTATATTTTTTTTCGTCAGTAGCCGGTAAGGTCCTTTCCTCACTATCTGTCGCGTTATCCAGTTATCAGCATTCTTCGGTGCATGAAGAACGAAATAAGTGAAGTGAACAATGATCACTCTGAATTGAAACTCTTCAGGGGCCCTTATGACAGCTGGGGACGGCCGTAGTTCGCTCTTAATTTAGTTAACTTCCAGTTTAAGGAGAGCGCCCCGGAGGGCTTGCTAGTAGGCTTTCTATGGACACATTGCATGCTCCGATTCGCCCAGAGGTACTCGCAAGGAATATCAAGGTTCTGTTCAGCTGTATTAAAAGGCTACGGTTTTTTTTAAAGCATAGTGGACTTGAATAAAGTTAAAATGTGCATGTAGGCCTTTCTTCGGCGCCAAAACCGAAGGTATGTGGCTAAGGCGAATAGTTATCGTAAAGTAATTACCTTTTAGAACCTTTTGCTCTTAAAAGGAAAGTTACGCTCTGAGTTTATCCGGCCGGGGCGTACTATGATTCCAACTTTGGGTGAAATCTTGATAATCGTCACTTTCTGCCTGGTTCTCTATATTAAATTAATCCTACAACGCATCCACAAGTTAACCGCATTCTTGTTAATTCGCGTTGTTTGGTTGCAAAATAAAAATTTGGAGCTCGTGTTCAGCAATCGGGCCAGCATCCGTACAGCACCAGTGAAGGCACGAACACGTTTCTAGAATCTGGAAGCTTTATGTTTGCAGTTGAGTCAGGGCCAGAATGATTGCCGCGTAAGGCTCTTTGAAATACTAGCTAAAACACAGATAGGTTATTTTCGACTCTGGACTTTACCTTTAAGGGGATTAAGCTCATATTAGACAAAAGTTTCGGCCTCTGCTGATAAAAGCTTCGTATTCATACGGATGACCACTTATCATTTACGCTCCCCGGACGTGACTGCGATCCTCGGCAATCGTTGATTCTTGGCCAAGAGGACACGAGCGATTCGTGATTTTTAAAATGGGCCTCTTTCCTGTTCAATTCAAGAAACAGTCTTTGGTTAAAAATACCGGAATTGTACCAAGTCTATGTTGTTTACGCACGACAGCTGTTTGCTTTGCCAGACCATGCGTTTTCTTATCGGTTCTAAAGTTTCGGGGCGTTTAGTCTCGAAGATGCATAAATTACTCTACCCCAATGTTCATTAGTCTGTATTCTGGTAGAATCAATATCTTTAGCGTGCGAAAATTTGTCGCTCTGTCGAGTACGTATATTTGAGAAGCGTACATTTTGTTGTTAAGCTCCAGAGATTCAGTGAAGCGGAAGACTCTCAGATTCAAGACTACCGAGTTTAAGAAAACATCATTTCGACGCGATGTGAATTAATTTCGCTCGTTTATACCAGACAACAACTAAAGCACATGTATTAAACACAAGCGACATAGAGAAATTCACCAGCCAATAATAACACGATTCAGACATGGTCTACTCACCACGGCATTACAAGCTAAGCACTGTTGAACAGACATGATTTAAACGTGTTAAACTCGTTTGAATCCAACTGAAGCAACCAACTAACGTGGCGGTGTAGCGGAGTACAGCAAAACGTGGTTTCAGGCGTACAAGCTGGCCTTGTTTTGACCCGAATCAAACCTGCCTTCTGTGCCAAACGGGTAGTAACACAACTATGACGTCACAAAATTAAAAACAACTGACGAAACAACGCATGGATTTAACACAAAATCTCTCGTGAAAACTTGTTAATGGCAATTTCAATGTAGATAGTCGTAACCCGCAAAAGTAACAAATAACTCCCAGCATCTAAAGAAGAAAACAGAGAATAAGTATATATTTCGACGATGATTCCCTTAAAATTCAGGAGGTTAGTTTAAGCTTGGCGCTCCCCGGCCGAGGTCTTTTAAACGAATGGATATCAGTGCAGCCTTACAAGCTTAGCATCACGCGGACTGTGATTCAAGAGCTTCTATAGTTGCTCAAAAAGTTTGTGATATAAGTGAAAAGGAGAACATAAATCAAACAAAGGAAGCAGTACGTGACCACCTTCTCTCGAACTGTCAAACAGATTTGTGAAAACTGACGGACGCTGAATTTTTTATCAGTTTTATATTATGTTGTGTATCTTTTACTGAGGAAAAATTGAATTTTGCTTGCCGAGGAAATAGTTACTTAGAATATAAGCATGGCATGCGAACTGTGAGGCAAAGCGATGAAATTCAATTTTTGTCTCCATTCTCAGTAGTCCATTCAATATTTTCGCCGTCATTCTCCCGCAAAGTTCATCGTAGCCTGCCATAAAGCCGGGAATTCCAGTGGGTGTTATGCTTGGAATTTTACCTCCATCAATTCGTTTCAAGAATTGTTTATAATTGTTTGCATGCCATAGTTGGTCAGTTAAAGTATTGTAGACTTTAAGTTCACTCACACGTGAAGGTTAAGCCCTTATTCCTTAAAAAAGTGGAAGTTTCTTAGCCAAGATAGACGACATCCGAAGCGGAAAAATATCATGATCCTTATCATCCAGGATTTCCTCGAGAATGAGAAACACGATGAACAGAAAAAGTTCACAACCTTGATGTAACAAGCCTTACATAACGAGCGATTTAGTAATAGTAAAACGTATGAAAAGAATCTCGAATATAGGGAGACCTCGTTATAGCGAACAGATTTTGCTAGTTCCTTGGCCGTTCATTATATCGCGGTTCCACTCGTACTGTGAACTGATTCGACTATAAGCCGGCAAGAGCCAAGTTAGAACCACCGTGTACAATGACATTACACTGAAAGATAGACTTACGATCGACTTGACCACAGGGCGACTAGTTTAAGTCACTCTTTTCCGAGTCTAAGTCCTTGACACAGGATTTCTTCCATCCTAGATCGAGTTAGCACCCGCAACCTGTGCAACACAATGAAGTGCTAACAAGCTCCCACACAAGAAGGTATTGCTTACTAATTATAGTAGTTGTTAGTATTCTTTTCATGGGTCAAGTAAAATCACTCCATAACCAACCTCTATGTAACGAAGTCCTCGATATAACGAACGATTGCCTTTACGCCCCAGTGATAATAAAATACAGTCAACTCTCGCTAAGTCGGACACCTCTGGGGCCGGTACTAAGTGTCAGTCTTAGAGAGATGTCCGTCTTATTATATAGAGAGTCAAATAAAGGGGATAAAGAAAGGCAGGGACCAACTCTAGGTGTCCGTTTTACAGAGATGTCGGTCTTATAGAGGTGTCCGTTAAGAGAGAGTTGAGTGTAGTATGAAAATGAAACTTGATATAACGAAACCTCATTATAGCGAACACATTTTTCCAGTCCCTTGGAGTTCCACTGTAGAAAAGTCACATTTCTTACAAACAGCAATCAAACGTTTTTAGTAAAAAACTAATAATGGCTAATAATGATTAAAGCCATTAATGGTAATTACCATGGTAAACGACACGAGCTTAAAATAGTGGTCATACAAGGATTACTTAATGTTCCGCAATGGCTCAAAAATTCAAAGTAAAATTACATTGTGCGCATGATAAACTTTGCCTTTGCCTGAAAGAAACTACCCACCAATAACTTCTTCCGAGACAGTAAAATGAATTAATTCAAAGGATTTTCAGTCAATTGATAAAAGAAAAACCATTTCCCGAGGAAGTGGCTACGATGCAACTACGTCATCAAACTTTATGATTAGATCCTTCGATTTACACATCTACTTTAGTTTACCCGACCCCAGTTAACGGTTAGTTTTCTTAAAAAATATTTTTAGTTTTTCTAGTTGTTTTAGAGTCTTATTTCATTGACTCATTTTTGTTTTTAAAAGCACAACTGACATTTACAGAAATTTTAAATTTATGGTAATGTCACCTACTATTTTTTAATTTCTATCACATAGTCACAGATCTTTGGTTTATAGGAAATATATGATGTGCATTTCCAACAAACGTTTAATTTTTGTCGCAGTCTACCTACGTCAGCTTTTGCGGTTTCTGTAAAATAACTGCTAAATTCCTTAGACAAAACTTATATAGGACCGCTTGCGGTGAGGTTATGCGGTCTAAAGTTGTTTTGTATTTTTAGATTTGGCCATGCTGAAACGTTGCTGTCAGTTGCCATTTTACTCTTGCAATATAAATTAATTTAATATCAGGTCTAAACGTTTTCACCATAATTATAACTGTCAACGCCAGAGTAACTGAGCAGAGTGTAAGACAACCCATAGAACAACAAGGTTTCACTGCATTGTCAAACTACAAATCAATGGAATCATTAGAGCCAAGAGAAAAACGTGGACGAGGAAGACGCGTCACGCGTAACTTCCAGCCTGAGACAGATTTAGGTTGCCGTTCCTTTTAGCCAAACTTTTTTCGGATTTAGACAATCCAGATTGTTTGGATTTTCGTGCTAGCCGGAACAAAAATTCCGAGAAATAAGATTGATCCATACAGTAGCTACCTGCTGCTCATCTTCTTCTCAATTTCAACTCATCGTTTTTAATTTCTTTCCGCCAAATTAAGCGTCTATTCGTGGAGAAATTGAAAGAAAAGTAGCTCTTAACAAGTGGTGATTCATACTGGGACATGTCAACTTAAAATTATCTGGAATTTGATTCAAAAAAATTCAGTAGATAATTACGAATTCTCCAGTGCTGAGACTGAGCGTACTTCCCCTGAAACACACACACATATTGGACACTAGTTTTCCCGTGAGAAAATCCAAGCGTTTTCGCTTCCCTACGGATTTATAAATACAGCGGAACTTGGTTTAATATTAATACCACCGCCGTAGCCAGTATGAGGCGAACCGAGGCACTCGCCTCGGTAAAATTTTACCAAATACTGTCGATTTTTATTTTTTTTTATCAGACTGATAATATTAGAAGATTTCATACGGCTGATTTCGTACATGACGGACCGTGTGTTCGCCTCGGTTGTAGTTTCTTCCTGGCTACGGCCCTGAATACTACAATCCTTTAGCGGCATAGAACAACGAAGGAGTGTAAATAACTTTTGTCCGAACTAACCTTGACCAGCCGTGTTTATCGATATTGATCACCGGTTCTTGCGAACGAAAGCAGTTTTGTTAAATGGAACAAAAATCTGAAACCAGATTGAGGTACTAATCTGAACGACGAACCAAGCGCGGAGGTGGATGAGTTCAGATTGCAATCTTAGATTGGTTTAGTCCTTAATGGAAAAAAAATCAAATTTCGGATCGCAAAATCCGGATTTAGATTGGTCAAAAGGAATGCAACCTTAATAGTCTTTCACTCAAGCCTACTTGAAATCCGGATTTTCTGGACTATTCTATTTTCAACATTCTTCTAATCATTTCTACTTCTAGAGTCTTTTTAAAATTCATTATACTCATTACATAGAGTAAAAAAATTACCCAAAACCTTCAAAGCATTGAATATCAAAGCACTCTGACTGGTTTTGTTCTTCCGCTTCCGCTCCTAACTCAACTAATAATCTTACTAGTGTTTAGTAGATCGTTAGTCGTTTGAGCGCTAATGATCTGAGCTCGACTCTGTCTTCTGTAACAGAGGGGAACAGGCTCAATGTTCTTTGCTAGCAGAGGTGAGTCTCACGGCGAGAGAAAAATGAAAGCGAGAAGAAATCGGCAGTCCTAGACGAGGACAAGCCCTTTTTCCCCCAATAACTTTACAATCTTTAAATGAAGACAGCGTATAAGTGGACACATGAATTTGAAATAATCAACAGAGGATAAATAGAGAGAATAATCGTTTCCTTTCGTTTGAAGAATTATTATTTTACACTACAATGCATTGTATTTTGTGAGTCAGGAGGCTACAATAGGTAGACCGTCAGGTTTTATAACCAATCTGATGTACATAGATATAAGTAAAAGCTCTTGAGAGAAGCCTAGTTGGTTTATCTTATACCGAATGCAGAAAAATCTCGACTAATTTAAACTCGATGGCTTTCATCCTTTTTGACTTTGCGTTTCAGTCCAGTAAAAGGGATAAGGTCTTGACAGACTGACAGAGTCGAGACTATGTAATGGAAACCAAAGCTAGAAATGAAGTGACCATGACGCAAAAAAAGGCCCCCATGTCAATCAATTCACTAAGTAATGGGTTTTTTTTAGTAACATCGTTGAGTCAATAGAATGAACGCTCACTAATGCATTTAATCGAACTACCAGCTCTAGGTCAGGTATGTGAGAGCAATATACTTGAACATTGTTCATGTACTTATAGAATGAATAAAACGAAGAATTGTGGCTCCTTAGATAATTAGCTGCAATCACTTTCGGTCACTAAGAGAGACGATGAAAATCAGTGAAAAGCATTGCATTAACAGCCCGTAAAAACTGGATATCTTTTCTTTAGTTTTGAAGACCGTTTATTACTTTGTGTAATTCTGGTTTTCACCCTTTCTAAATAAAGTCTTGTTGTTGCTGTTGTTGTTTCAGCTCATCCCGCGGTCCACAACCCCTGCTGCAAGTACAATATAAATTCCACTTCCGGGACAATGCCGACTGATTGAAGATAAACTAAAGGTCTAAATATTACACTTAGTCTGTTCATTTCGGTATTACTGAAACTACAACCAAAAAAACCGACGACAAAATTAGTTGAAGTAGTTGAGACGTACTCTTTCTCAACACTATTTATCACTTCAAA